AGGTAAGCGTGTTCACAAACATTTTAACCTAGGTGTCCAGATAGAACAAAATGTTAAATGAGGCATGCAGATCAAAAGTGAACTCACAAGTAAAGACATGCCTTACAGAGAGAATGTTAATTCTCTAAAAATCAGGGCATTCGACCCAGAAAGATTTATGCCTTTGTAACAAAAAGGATTTAGCAGAAAAGACAAAAAGCCTGTTTATCATCTCGGGATGGATGTGTGGTCCTTTATCAAGGCGGCCTCATCCAAGTCACATTTATTCTGAGGAGCATCAAAAAGCCTCCAGCACAAAGAGAAAGGCTCAGGCTGAGAAAGCACTCAGCAGGGTGAAAAATCAGGCTGTGGAGGTGAAGAGCTAGAGGAGCTGGAGTAAGTGCTGCGCAGTGGTTCCAAAAAATGAAAATAAGTCATTTCTTCCGATGGTGATATTTTTCTGGTCCCATTTCTGACACCATATGTATCAGTCTAAGTAACAGAGAGAAGCTCACTCAAAGAAGTAATTTATTCAAGAATAGAGCATTGCAATGGGAATTCAGATGCCACGGTAAACCATGTGCATATTCAGAAAAAGGAAGACAGAGGCTTTTAAAGGAAAAATTAGGAGGATGACAATTATTTTGAAATAATTATCCTTGGCTGCAAAGATCAATAGCAAGGTTGATGCCAGTCCACGGTTGAACAGGCAATTGCTGGGCAGATGTCCTTGGAGAAGCCTTTTTTGTGTAAGGTTGTGATGGTTTCTGTGCAAGGTTTTGGGTTTTGTAGAGTCTTCTAGCGTATCTTTTGTTAGATGTGTATGAGAACCTCTCTTCATGGCTTTCTCTTCATTTTCATTGTTACAACTTTTATACCTCCACCAAAATTAGCCTGTGAGAAACAGGTACAATAGGTACCTTCAAGTTTACATTTCACAGCTAGGTTTTTGTTTTTTTGGTTTTTTGGGGTTTTTTTTGAGACAAAGTCTCGCTCTGTCACCCAGGCTGGTGTGCAGTGGCACACCCTGGGCTCACTGCAACCTCTGCCTCCCAGGTTCAAGTGAATCTCCTGCCTCAGCCTCCGCAGTAGCTGGGATTACAGGCCCTTGCCACCATACCCAGCTAACTTTTGTATTTTTAGTAGAGATGGGGTTTCACCATGTTGGCCAGGCTGGTCTCGAACTCCTGACCTCAGGTGATCCAGCTGCCTCGGCCTCCCAAAGTGCTGGGATTACAGGCGTGAGCCACTGTGCCCAGCCCTATGCAATTGTTTTGGAGCACTGTGACGGTGCCCGTGTGAGACACCAAATTTAATTTTGTTCTGACTGCTCCACCAACCCGGTGTTCTCATCTGTCTCCTCTCCTCAGCCTCCCTATTCTTTCAGACAGAACAATATTGAAATCTGGCCAGTTAATAACCGTACAATGGCCTCTACGTGTTTCATTGAAAGAAAGAGTTACGGGTCCCTCACTTTAAATCAAAAGCTAGAAATGATTAAGCTTGGTGAGGAAAGCACGTCAGAAGCTGAGAGAGACCAAAAACTAGGCTTCTTACAGCAAATGGTTAGCCTGGTTGGGAATGCAAAGGAAAAGTTCTTGAAGGAGATTAAAAGTGTGACTCCAGTGAACACAAATGATAAGAAAGTAAAACAGCTTTATCGCGGATACAGAGAAAGTTTCAGTGGTTTGGATAGAACATCAAAGCAGCCATAACGCTCCCTGAAGCCAAAGCCCAGTCTAGATCGAGGCCTTAACTCTCTTCAATTCTGTGGAGGCTGGAGAGCCGAAGACACTCTCTCTCTCCACTTTCTTCAGGAAGAAGAAAGGTTGGAAGCCAGCAGAAGTTCATTCATGAGGTTGAAGGAAAGAAGCCGGTTCTGTAACATAAAAGCGAAGGTGGAGCAGCAGGTCCTGGTGGAGAAGCTGCAGCAAGTTCTCCAGAAGACCCAGCTGAGGCCATCGATGAAGGAGGCTGCCCTGAACAACAGATTTTACATGCAGATAAAACAGTCTTCTATTGGAAGAAGATGCGTCTAGGACTTTCACAGCTAGAGAGGCGATGTCAGTGCCTGGCTTCAAAGGACAGGCTGACCCCCTTGCTAGGGGCTAATGCAGCTGCTGACTTTAAGTTGAAGCCAGTGCCTGGTTGCTATTCTGAAAATCCCAGGGCCCCTAATAAATCTTCTCTGCCTGTGCTCCATTGGTGGAAGAACAAAGCCCGGATGACAGCGCCTCTGTCCACAGCATGGTTTACCACCTGTTCTAAGCCTACTGTTGAGATCTGCTGCTCAGGAAGAGAGATTCTTTTCAGAAATATTCCTGCTCACTGACCATGCACCTGGTCACCCCAGACCTCTGATGGAGACACAAGGAGATGAGTGTTGTTTTCATGCCTGCTGACACCACATCCACTCTGCAGTCCAGGGATCAAGAACAATTTTGACTTTCAGGTCTTATTATTTCAGAAATACATTTTGTAAGGCTATAATTGATTTCTCTGATGAATCTTGGCAAAGTCCATTGAAACCTTCTGAAAGAAATCCATCATTTTAGATGCCATTAGGAACAGTCATGATTTATAGAAGGATGTCAAAATATCAACATTAACAGGAGTTTAGAAGAAGTTGATTCAAACCCTCATGGGTGACTTTGGGGAGTTTACGACTTCAGCGGGGAAATAACTTCAGATGTGGTGGAAGTAGCAAGAGAACTAGAATTAGAAGGGGGCGTCTAAAAATGGAACTGAATCGCTGCCATCCCATAACACTTGAACAGATGACGGGTTGCTTCTTACGGATGAGCAAAGGTGGTTTCTTGAGACGAAATTGCTCCTGATGAAGACACTGTGAAGGTGGCTGAAATGAAACAAAGCATTTAGAATATTCGTAAACGAGTTGGTAAAGCAGGGCAAGGTCTGAGCGGATTAACTCCAGTTCTGAAAAAGCTCTGCTGTGGGTAAAATGCTGTCCGTCAGCATCACACGTGCTCGTGAAGAGTTGATCAGCACAACTAAGTTCAATGCTATCTTATTCTTAAAAATTGCCACAGCCACCCCAGCCTTCAACCATTGCCACCCTGATCAGTCAGCAGCTGTCAGCACTGAGGTAAGACCCTCAGCAAAAGATTCAGCCTCACTGAAGGTGCAGATGATCGTCAGCATTTTTTAGCAATAAATTACGTCTTAATTAAGGCTTGTGCATTTTTTTTTTTTTT